TCCCCCTCCACCTCATCTCCCTGCTCCTGTTCACCTAGCCTACATTCTTTTCCTTTATCCTATCAACTTCTTGCCGGCTTGTTTTCATCGGATATTTACCTCTCATATTGATCTTGCGTCTTATATCTTCTTCCCATCCACCGTGTTTCGGTTGCTAATTTCAGATAGACCTTCTGGCACGTCCTTCTACGGATTACTTGTTTTATTTTTGATCTTTAGAGGCATCACACTATTTAATTGGCCAGTTATATGCTGGACTGAACGTATTGAAAGAATCCACCCTTGTTCATATCTACCCACTGCAGTTCTTAACTTTAGAGCCAATGTGTACTGATACTGCTGAGTTTCATCCGCTACATTGTATCCATCTTTCTACAGGGCTGGGCAGACGATGGCGGCCTACACGTGCGTCCTTCACGCTGAGACGTGCGGCAGCCCGGGGGCCCTGCTGGAGAGGGCAAAGCTCCTTTGGCAGACAGGCAAGCGGGAAGCGGCCCTGACCTGTCTGGATGAAGGTCTTATTGGTGATGTCAACACCGGAGGTAAACACTGCTCAGTCTCTGTAGCCACTGCGGCAATGCCCCCACCAGTCGATAGCCGACGTCCTGCACGTGCGACAGAAAGGCTGGCCTCAGCGACGACCAAAACCACTTACTCGGATGTCTCCTGTGCACAGCAGGTAAATATTCCCCGCTTTCTAAAACATCGTCGACTGTCCAATTGTAAGCTGGACTCGAGAAAAGAATGCTAATCTGTCCTCAATCCCACTTTGGTAATAAGCACTGGAATGCGGAGGAACTTACATATATCCGGAATAAATACCGACAACGACAACGAAGACTGGGGTAGTGGCCATCAGTTCGCACTGTCCAACTCCTGCGATTCTGACCATGATTTCAAGTCTGACGTTCTGCCATTGAGCCGTGGGCCCGCTGTCCTGTCGGTTGCGATAAGGAATACTAAATATCGCGGGCGGGGCGTTCGCTGATCAGGTAAAGGAACAGGCCTGTCCCGTTCCGCCTTGTGACCCAATATGGAACGCAGATCCGAGTTGCAGGCAAGGTATCGTGTTCATCATCCCCCTTAAGAGACGAAGAAGAGGAGGCGAATTTATGAACAGCGCTGTTTGTGCACTGACGTTTCGGAAACTTCCTCGTTTCTAATAACCAGAGTGGCGTTCCTGCAGACCTTGGTTTGTTCAGCCCTCTCGCTTGTCCTGCATTAGAGCTATGCCTGACGCGAACATTGGACTTGTCTGCGCGTTGAGAATTAGCTTTAACTACTCCGTGACCGAGTCAATTGATGCTGACTTGATTCAGCCGTTTGGAGAGCCATTGAACCTTGCCTCGGTAAATGACGCCGAACAAAATATGCTGTATAACTCAGTCAGTCTAGACGCCTGTGACGTTAACCTAACACATTCTTTATTACTTACTGGATAGAACGCTTTTCGTCGTCGAATATGACTAGTTTTTAACCTTCCAATCACCCCAGTTTGGACCATTAGCGCCACTGTCGGCGTTCTGAGGTTATTTATCTGTCTCCCGTGAATCACTTGAGCCAATTCTATGGTGTTGTTGCACCAAAGTGCCTGTGGATCTAATGTTTGTCTTGCATTTTCCCCCGTTGACAGCCAAGATATATAACTCTCCCCCCACATTCCCTCGCTTTTACAGGCGCTGCTCTTGCGTGCACGCTATTGTGAAGAAACAAGCCGTTTCGACTTTGACACCACCCGTCGACTCTACTCAGATATCTGTGAAACCTACTCTGGCTGCGAAGAGGCCCATTTCCGTCTGGCGCACTATGTGGACGAAGCTCGCAGCCAGGTTTTGGATAACAAACAAAGCGAGTTAGTCCTTTCGCAAGCATGTGCTCTCTGATTGTCTGGCTCCTCTTCACTGCTATTACCCTACCGTTTGCTCTCTATGCACATTTCATGCCGTCCATTCTACTTGACCCGCCTTTAAGGTCAAAGTTGCCCAATTGCTTCAAGCCGCTCGCAAAAATTTTCTCTTTAACGCAGTGATTTGAGGTTTCTTATGCCCTCTAATTCCTTTTAGATATTTGGCATTTTTGTCACACGTTAAAATGTTCTACGCCTATTCAGTAGTATGTGAAATTTCGGTGATAGCGATTCGACCCGGGTTTGAAGTTAAAATTCGATGCTTCTCCTTACTTTTAGAACAAAACTCCCAAATGTTCCATTATTGTGTTCTTTGTCTTATTTGCCCTGTCCTTCAAGCCTTCTTCTGAAAGTCGCTCTGGAACACTATGGGGAGGCGCTGGCCTGCGGAAATCAGTTCATCTATCAATCGATGCCGCGCTTTCTCACATTGTGGCTCGACTACGGAGCGGAATTTGCACAGAAACAGGCTATTAGCACCGGTACTAATATTCGTGCCGGCGTATCCGAGGCTGCTGCGGACGATGGCTCATCAAGCGTCACGTTTGAGGAAGTGCAACTGGTAGGGGGCCTAGACTCATTTGAATCACGAATGTGATCTATTCTCGGTGTGTTTCGCTCTTCTTCTTCAATCATCTAATACGTGTTTGTATGGCGCCCTTGATTTTTAGCTTATGCGAGCCAGTCTTCAGAAGATACCACCGTACCAATTCTATACAGCGCTTGGGCAAATCCTATCTCGAGTATGCCATGAACACCCCTCTATTGTGATCATGCTGGTGGACCTCATTGTCCGCGTGTTCGTGGCCTTCCCCCAGCAGACTATTTGGTTTTTGATGTCCCTTCACGACGTAAGTTTCGACACGAGGCACGATATGTTTAGTCCCAACAGGCAGCTTTTCACTAAGTTGTCAGACATTTTTGACTTCGACGCTGACTCACGAGGTAGGCTTAGCAATGGTGGCTTGCGCGTGAATTAGTTTATAATGAGGCTGCCTCCAAGGCTTGTGAGCGTCTGCTATGCCCTGATTGGCAAATCGTGGCCCTCACAGCCTGGTGTGCGCTGGCGGTTCTCTGGAATCTGATTTTCTGGCGGTTGATGCGCTTGCGCTCCCGCTTATTGTACAGGTCGTATTCATGTCTGCCCAGTCATCTTCGTCTTTTTTCTTGGCGTTGTTGGTCAAAATCTTGGTCAAGTGTTTGTGGTGGAGCAGGAGGTGTGGACTGGAGTGCCAAGGTGAGGTTTTGGCCGCAACATCTATCTGCGCCCGCTTTGCCTTCGGTCTTCTTGACTCTGTCTGGACACCGGGCCCAGGTGGGTAGGAGGAGGGAGTGGAGTAGATGCAGCGCAAGTCTGCTTTCACTAAACTAATTAACGCGTAAGTCGCCGTACCTGCCTCACCTTGCTGTGGAGTACACGGTGGACATCGCCGGATGCGATGGTCGAACTACCATCAGTCAGGCTGGTTTGCACTGCATCTGCCGCACCCTTTCTTTCCCCGTCCTCATGGTTTCAACGGCTAGCCAAAGGCAGGCATGGGCGCCTTGTCTGACAAGACTAAACAGCCAGTCTGTACGCGCCATGCACGAGCTGATCCCAACCGCACGTAACAGACTACTGTAAAAACGACTCAGGTCTAACTTTGGTCAGTGTGTCATAAAGACTGCGATAATGAGGAGCCATACCGGTGCGGACAGGGTGGATATCAGACATGCCGCAGAAATGGTTAAATATGTGTTTCTGGCAGCTGTCGCGTATGCCCGTTGTGTAGTAGGTCCATGTATAGTCTAGGGGATGTGTCTGTGCAAGTAGAGTGAAGTTTTGCGATTGAATCAGGGCCGTGTTGTTTGGAGATTTTCATATAGCGGAACAGGCCCATATGATGGCCGAATATTCCGCGTCACTGTGGGCAGATGTGACATGTGTGACAGGCGTGTGTAGGTGCTGCTGACACTGGTTCGCCGGTTCCGGCACGGTGGCTTCATGTGTGACCGATCACACCGTTGTGAGGATGTGCGGTCGCGATGGGAACAGGTTGAGTCGACATTGTTAGTATAGATGAGCGAAGGGTTGCTGGAGGCGTCGATTTTGCGAGTATGATGATTAGGGCGAAGATGTCTGGCAAGTACAGTGCGTCAGTTGGCATTGCAGGCCGTTTTTGGAGTGAGCGTTCGCAGTCTTAATCAGTTGGCGAGCCTAAGTGTACTTTTGCTAAATTCCCATCGGCCTAGTACATGTGAGACAAGAGGAATCGATCATGGTTCGCCTTTGCATGCAAGCAGGGTGTGCGAACAGAAGGGGGGAGGGGGTTGAGTAAGAGACAGTGGACTGGAAGGCAGTGAGGGTTAGGGAGA